ACAAATTGGAATTAAATAATTGTTGGTTTTTTTCAATTAAGTGTTTTGAACAATGAGCATCATTAGAATAAATCCATAGCACTCACTTCTCCGAAGGATGAAGGCTTTTACTGAAAAGTAAAAGTATACTTGGTGCAAATGCCAAGTGTAAAAAGCATATAACTTTAATATATTAACAAGAGGAGCTCAAGAAATTGGTGAAAATGGAATTAAAAGATAATGACACTTTTCCATGAACTTTTTGATGATCCCTCGTGTAATTCAAGGAAAACTCAATGTTCAAAGAAAATTATTCAGTAATAATCCTGGTAGTTTATTAAGTGGGTAATTTTGAACACTGCATTGTCTATTGTAACATATTGATTAGTAATGTCGTTATCAATGATTTACTATATAACCATTATATTTTCAAACTAAACCTTACCTCCCAACCAGGCCACACAATTAGCCTTTGCCAGTGGAGTATGAATTCGAAATGTCTTGGTGCCAAGTGCTTTTTTATACTTTGGTCTTTCTACCAAATATCTTATTTCTGCAAGCAACCTGTGGAGAAATCCTGGCAACATAGAGGTGCCACCAATGATGACCAAGTTCTCTGCTAGCTGCTTTCTGGTATCGATTGGGCACTGTCATTAAAAAGGAAGAAAAAAGAATTTATGGCTTCATTTACAAATACTGCCCGACTGTACTTTAGAAACGAGATCTATGTATCACCGAGGGATGGGTGAAGATGCAAGAAGGGCCTCCGCCAGCTTTCCTGAACTAAGGAGCGTTTCATGCAGTCAATGCAGCCACCCTAACCTTACCCACCCCTGACACAGAACTTCAGAGATCTGTACAGTGCTCAACAATCTAACAGTGCAGACGTGTACATCCCACAGGACAAAGGGTAACCTGTGAGTATTCTCTCTTCAGGGTACAATGACTGAGCTGAGTAAAAACACAAGAAGTTACTTTTCCTTCTTAGTAGGGAAAGTGTATGTAAACATGATTTTTCTAAGTGTTATTTATCATTATAGTACTACAAATTCAGAGCCAATTATAGAGTCAGAAGATAACACTTAGTAAAATTATATTGGCACATCTGTTCTAAGAATTTGAGATGAGCTCTTTCACTGATATTTTTATTATTGTTGATAAAAGTTCCTGTTCTAAGGCACTTGTGATTCTGTAGTCAATAAACAAGACTCAAATTAGTACCTATTCCTTGAAGTGTAGAGGCTCAGGGTAACGCAGATGGTTAGGCACTTTTTAGTAACCCAAAGATAGGTATTTCAAGTCCACCTAGAGGTGCTTGCAAAAAATCAGCCTCTTAAAAACCCTATGAAACAGTTTTACTCTGACACAAATGGAGTCGCCCTGAGTTGAAAATGTCTCAATGTTAATGAGTTTTCTGTGAAATTTAAAATAGTATGCCATGCAAATGGCATTTGATAGAACCACAAGCCACAGTGGGTACAAATTAAAATGTGGGTACCACTGTCTTGAGAGGAAAATAATATATATGCTCATGGACTCACTGTCTTAAAATGTCTCCAGTACCATGTTTTAGTTCAAAATGATCTCCTCGTTAACTGGGAGGCACGGAGCCATATGCTGCAGTAACTGAAGGCAGCAGACAAACCACCACTCAGAGAAAGACAGGGTTTTCCACTGCTGGCAAAGAGCAGTGCTGACCCCAAATGTGGGAAACTCGACTGCCTAATTTGTGGTAGTGGGGGACTGTGCTCACACTCTCCCCTGTAAAAAAAAAAAATAGTAGTCTGTGACCCTGATGCAACCAGACCCCTAGGGACTGGAGAAGGCACGTGGAGACCCTGCCAACACTGAGATGCTTACACTACCACTGGATCCACACTTCCCACCCACTGGCCTGAGATCGTCCTGCATTCGGCATCATTGCATGTGTTTCATGAGTCTGAAGAGGACACTATTGATTGTATCAGACATATGGACTAATAGACTTATGGGCTTGGGATGCTTTCTTAATGTACAGTTTATCCTTTATATAAACTGTCTCTTATAGGAAAGGGTTGTTTTTTGAAACTCAGAGGGGCAGCTCTACCTTGTCCTATAGGAGCACTATGAATTGGCATCGACTCAATGGCATCACGTTTTTGGTAAGAGCTAAAGAAAAAAATACAAAAACATTTACTTTTTTCCCCCATTTTCTCTTTAAAGGGCAACAGTCGTAATGTTTCCCCCCAAAGTAAATACCTCCATAAGTGAATCCAGTATTAAAGTGGCAACTGACTTCTCCTCATTATCTTGTTCAAAAAGAATTTCCACAACTGAATCCCTGAAAGTGGAAACAACACATAATAAAGGAATATATCAGGAATTCTAGTGACATACTATTTTAATACCAATACTGTGTTAATGTAGAATAATTCTTAAAACACAAGGTGTTCTCATCTGTAAAGTAAGGAGACTAATAGTATCAACCATACAAAGGTTGATGTGAGTTAATAAAACAGTGCCTGGTCCACAGGAGGCACTCCATAATGACTTGCTGTTGTTAGGGGCCATCTAAATATACCTCTCCGAGACACGTAACAAAGAAAAGGCATTCTATAAAAGTTAGTAAGACTCCAAACGCCTATCAGTTTGATTTAAGAAAAATATCAAAACACCATTTCTTTTGTTTCTACTAGTAATGTATTACAAAGATTGCTATTGCCTATTAAATATGCATTTTCAATTCCCCTGTTCTTTCTCCAATTAAAAGATGCCCACTTTTGGTTAGCATGTTTGTAGTGACATAATAGTTCTGTATCTAGACTGTGGTAGTGATCACACAAATATACCCATGGTAAAATTACACATAAGGATATATGTTCTTTATATCAATGGCAATGCCCTGGTTTTCACATTATATTAAAACTATAAAATGTAATCATTGGGGGAAACTCGCTGGAGCGCACACAGGACCTCACTGTACAATCATGGCAACTGTGAATTTAATATTATTTTAAAATAACAAAGGAAAGAATAGTCATTTTAAAATTGGTCACACTGCTTAATAATTACAGCACGTCTAAATTTACCAGCCTCCTTTTTGGCTAGAGGCAGCCACGTGACTAAGTAGCAGACACGTAGAGAGTGGCGGAAGTGGCCTGTGGGACTTCTAGACAGTCTCCTTAAAAAGGTTGAGGGAGAATGTTTCTCTTCCCTTTGTCAGGTTCTTCCTTCAAACATAAAACAGGATGGCTGCCACTCCAGCAGGCAGTCAGGACACCAAAGAACCGGCCAGGGTGATGTTCCTGAGTGGCATTGGAAGGATGGAAGGAGTTTTGGTTCCTAATGAAGCTATTGGACCACATCTGGACTATCTATTTCTGAACGTCTTTTGAATGATACACAAATTTCTATCTTGTTGAAGCCATTATTTTTAGGTTTGTGTGACTCATAGCCAAACAGAATTCTCATTAATATAAAAGTCACTGTACATGTGAATATGAGGGGGTTTCAAAATATTCATGGAAAAATGAAATAAAAGATAATGGATTTTTCATGACCTTTTTGCTCATATGTACACTATAGTTTATAAAATTTGGATCAGACTATACAAACTGTTTTGTAGTTATATAAAATATTTTTACATAAATGGAAAAATTCTGTTTATGAGATCAGTGTACTTGCTAGCTCTCAATTTCATCAGGAAAGCAGGCAGGCCTGCAGTAAGCTGACCACTGACGGCTAGTCAGACCCTGCTGCTCCATCTGCACATTCCATTCCCGCGAGGTGAGTCAGCTACATGCTTATGGAGAGTTGCCTTTCTTTCACACCCTTCCAAATTGTAATGCCCATTGAGTTGAATTGAAATTACATACTAAATAATCACTATTCAACCAATGAGATTTTATGTGGAAAACTGGTTGTTTGTCCTTCATTAAGTTGAATTCTTTAGAAAGGCTAAATTATTTTAAAAATCTTCTTAGTATAAGTGAGACAACTTTAAAAGTCTGGAAACAAAACCTCTAAAAAGATTCTATACAAAGACTGATAAGTTCTAACCATACTAAAAAATAAAATCATAACAAAATCATGAATTGCTGGTTTATTCATGTATACTTCAGAACCCTGTAGACTAATCCTCAAATTCAGAACCTCATCATCAAAGGAAGCAATTTGGAAAAAAACTGGCAAAAAATACATGTTTATAAGTTAAGTTAAAGTGTTTGGTATGCCATTTTTAACTTCTTCACTTTGAATGACTTCCTGCCTTAAAAACAGACAGAAGAAGCAACAAAGCCCACATGGAACAACATATCAACCTGTGTGATCACGGGGTGTCGAACAGATCACTGAAGACAAATGGGTGCATAAGCAAATGTGGTGAAGAAAGCTGATGGTGCCCGGCTATCAAAAAGTATAGCGCCTGGGGTCTTAAAGGCTTGAAGGTAATCAAGCGGCCTTCGAGCTCAGAAGCAACAAAGCCCACATGGAAGAAGCACACCAGCCTATGCAACCACGAGGTGTCGAAGGGATCAGGTGTAAGGCATCATCAGAACAAAAAATCTTACCATAGTGAATGATGGGGGGAGTGCGGAGTGGAGATCCAAAGCCCATTAGTAGGCCACTGGAGATCCCCTTACAGAGGGGTCTCGGGGAGGAGATGAGTCAGTCAGGGTGCGATGTAACAATGATGAGAAATACAACTTTCCTCTAGTTCCTAAAGGTTTCCTCCCCGCTCCCACTACCATGACTCGAATTCTATCTTGCAAGTCTGGCTAGACCAGAGGAGGTACACTGGTACAGATGGGAACTGAAAGTACAGGGAATCCAGGACGGATGAGCCCTATAGGACCAGTGGTGTGAGTGGCGAAACAGAGAGGGTAAGGGGAGAATGGGTAGGAAAGGGGGAACCGATTGCATAGAACTATGTGTGACCTCCTCCCTGGGGGACAGACAGCCGAGAGGTGGATGAGGGGAGACGTCGGACAGGGCAAGATATGACAAAATACCCATTTATAAACTATCATGCGGGAGGGGGGCGCGGGGAGGGAGGGGAAAAATGAGGACCGGTGTCGGGGGTTTAAGTGGAGAGAAAATGTTTTGAGAAACGATGTACAAATGCACTTTACACAACTGATGTGTGTATGGATTGGGATAACAGTTGTATGAGCCCCTAATAAAATGTTAAAAAAGAGGGGAAAAAAAAAAAAGCCAGACAGAAAGCCCTAATTACCTGTCCTAACTGTATCTAATTAGATTCACTGCAATACATTTTTTCCGTAGGAAAAAAAACTCTTAAAAGTAAATCCATAAGGTCAGGAATGAAATGTAATAATGGCTTTTCCTTTCTTTATTCATGGTGTCTTTCCTTCACTGACTCTCACTACCACGGATGATTTTCACTCATCGTGATCCTACAGGACAGGATAGAACTGTCCCATGGGTTTCCGAGATGGATCTCTTTATGGGACTAGACTCTTCCTTATCCTGTGGGGCACCTGGTGGTTTCAAATGGCTAATCCAATGCATAACCAACCACTACAGCACCAGGGATGCTCACATATTTCTCACTATTTAATACCGAAAAACTCTCTATTAATTGAATTTCCTTACATGTGTGTTAGGGTTTTTTTTACACGTATTTTATTTTCAGGCTCACTGTCATCAAGTTGATTCCAGTTCAGAGACTTTCCAGGACAGAGAAAAACTAACCCTTTGGGCTTCTGAGGCTACAAATTTCTAGGTGAGCAAAAGCCTCGTCTTTTCTGTTTTATTCTGGGTTCCACTTAACAAGGAGGGAAATTTAAACAGTAACTTAAATAATCACCAAGCTATATTCTTGCTTGTTTGATCCCCTAATATGCCATCTTATACATCTGTATACAGACAGAGCCTGGGGGGTAACAAGAGAGAGCTGTATTTATTTGTAAGTATGTTGGATGCTGCTGTCATGTATATCATGTTAGTTCTGACCCACAGCAATCCTATACACAACAGAACAAAACACTGACTGGTCCTGTACCATTCTCACAACAGTTCCCATGCTTAAGCTCATTGTTGCAGCTACTGTTGTCAATCCATCTAGTCTAGGGTTTGCCTCTCGTCCTCTCTTCTACTTTACCAAGCCTGATGTCCTCATCCAGGCTCTGGTCTTTTCTGACAACATGTTCAAAGAACATGTGACCAAGTCTCAGCATCCTTGCCTCTTATGAGCATTTGGGCCATACTTCTTCCAAGACAGATTGGTTTGGCTTTTTAGCAGCCCATGGTACTTTCAATATCCTTCACTAGCACAATTTAAAATCACCAATTCTTCAGGTTTCCTTATTCAATGTCGAACTTTCACATGTATATGAGGAAGTACCCCTTCCCCACCTCCCACCCCCACAAAATGGAATTGTGCTGGGCAGAGCGGAGCTTTCGTAGCACACATTTTTCCTGCTAGGCAAGTATGGAGCAACTCGCTCTGCATTGGTGCACCCAGTAGTGTTGCCTGGGAAGGTTCTCTCTGGTCACAGTGAATTTTCTTGTAAAAGAAGTTTCATTCATACCTCGTTTTGGGGGTGGCAGGTTTGAAAGAAGAGCGTGTCTGTGGAACATTGTTTCCTGCTCAGGAGAAATGCTGCAGAAACGGTGGTGATGATGAACAGCTAACGAGGACAGTGCTATGGGAAAAACTCAAGTATGGTGCTTTTCTCATTTTAAAAGAGGTGAAATGTCAATTGATTACAAGTGCCTCTTCATCCATGTACAAGTTCCTTCTGCACAGTGTGTCAGGATAGGTGCACATAGTTCTTATTTAGAAAAGCTCCTTGTCTTTGTAAAGATTTAAAAACTGCATGCACAGCAGTGAAGGTGATTAGTGCATTCTTTTCAAACTGAGATAAAATTCACATAACATTAAATGGTAACAAAAAGCTAGCCCAAAGATGTATTGTGTTTCGGTTCACCTTTACATTAATTAATTTACATTAATCTCCAAGTAAAGATGAAGAGACCTCCCTAGTGGCATAGCAGGCTGCACACTGGGCCGTTACCCACAAAGTTAGCAGTTTGAACCTCCATTCCATTGGAGAAAGATGAACTTCTTTGCCCCTATAAAGATTTACAGCAAAGAGTCTCAAGATAGCCTCCAGATAGAATCACCCACCCGGTGTCCCGCTGTTAGATCAGAAAATTAAGAGGTAAGGGGGAGAATATTGGGGGGCCAGGTGCTCAACACAGGATCCCAGTGTCCTATGGTTTGTGTTTCAGACCTCCATATAAGATTTTTGCCCATGGAGCAATACAAGGGCTTGCTGTGTTGCTTTAAGTTCACTGTACCTACTCTCTGGCTTTCCATATCCCACTCCAGGTCCTATGGGACTGCTTCCGCTACCCCTTCC